TTAATAAGTCCGACGGCGCCGTAAACAAAGCTGTCTGAAGCACGGTTGATTTTGGTCGAGTCTACCTGGGATTATCTATAACCGACCAGAGCGTGAGAAAGCGCGAATAAACTTTGTTTTGTGGTAGTCCACAGAACCCACTACTGTCAGAAATTCAACGAATTGGATAACTATTGTGGACAGAAAATGTATTCCAATTTACTTGTAGAAGCTTAACTAATGAAAGTTTGTACCAGTCTGTCGCATCACTTCACGGAAAAGCTGAAAAACACTGTCTGCGAAACCAGTGAAAAGTTATCACATTTTGTGCGGTTGTCTTGATAATCTAGACAAGACTCGTTGGTCGACCACTGTACCCCCATGGGTATTTCTTAGGCAGAAAATATTTGTGGGAAAACTAGAACTTTCAATGGGCGCAAGGTTGAAAGATGTAGTAAACCGTATGAAATACAATCCCCAACGTTTTTTATTTTCATTTTCATTGCTATATTTATATTTCAGCACGCGACGGATGCTGCGAGCAACAGAAACCACAAAACATTTTACCTTGTTATCTAAGCCAAACACTTATTACTAATGGATTTACATCATACAGTAGTAATAGGAATGGGTTGCTCCTGATGTAATATAATTTTTAACCTCCAAAAGAATGTCAATAAAGAAAAAAATTATCAAAATACACTCATTTGCGGACCGATTTGTGGTTTGCCAGGGAAGCACCTGGAACTCAGCTAAATCCCCCGTTTATGATGTTTTCAAGCAACTGAATGTGCTGCACCATGCTGTCGTATGTTTCATTTGGTAGGATGTTTGATAACTCGCAATACGAATGTAGACGTAATACACCACTCGTAAGGTTGCTGTAAATCTTCTGACAGCCCATGGCCGGTTTTGCCCCTCTTGAGGCTCATCAGGTAGGCGCAGTCCCCGAGTTTCCACAAACCTTATCTTCTGCTTTAACCCAAATTCCAGATGAGTCTCCCGTCAAAACCAAATTTCTATGCAAATGAGTGCATATGCCGAAATCTGTACGATTAAGGTTTAAGTTGAGCATACGGTTGACGGAAATTCCGGGATGGCGCCTAACTGATGAGCCGCAAGAAGGGCATAACCGGTCGTGCGCTGTTGGAGAGTTTCCAGCATTCTTATGAGTAGAGTAGAATATTACGCCTATGCGGGAAAAAATTCCGTTTCCAAACGAGCCTTTGGTGTTTCTTGTAGTTGAGTAGTATGTATATATTCATACAGACTCGAACAGTATACATTCGTAGGTGCCTTACTAGGATCTGCATTTTAGGCTATCGGCGTACTTACTTGTCCACTTGCTAAGTAGAAACAGTTGCCATCCTAAGGATGACAACATCATTAAACGTATGGTTGGTGTAATACGCCGGGTTAGTCACTAAAATCCTGGCGGTAAAATAATGGGTGTTTCAGAGAACATTTGCATGCTGCCATGTGCAGTGAGATGCGATATCATGCTGACGTCTAAGGAAACTGGTGGTGACGTATGACACCAATATATCGATTATAACCAGGTAACACATGCCTGTTTGTATTGCTAAACTATCGTGTTTGGGTCAACCGAAAACTTCCAACAGGCCTCTGGACGTTCGCCTGCCTACCTTATCCTCTTCGATTCACTTCGGCGCCAAGGTATTGTGTGCAGCACTGCACTCGACTTAGCGCAAACGATCTATGGCCATCGACGATGCACAGGAGTCTACTAACTCAATCGCTGTAGGCTGGCAAGTTTGCTTTGGGCGTCATCTATCTGTATGTATGGTCAGCTTCCTGGTAAAGGATCTCTTACTAGGATACACCTAACAGTTGATAGAATTTCATTTCTCCTGTTGGGTGTCCCATATGAAGAGATTGCATCGTATATATTGTAAGTTCGGGGTTACTTTTTTGATTAGGTTGTCAGTATTTTGTGTCAGTGTACATATTGCTCATCGTAACTGGCACAGCTGCCAATCAGTTAAAACTGATCTGCCAGTTGAGTTTTATGCTAAAATTAGTCTTTTACATGGTGGAGTCTATCTGGTCCATTTTGCTCTTAGCCCACAAACTCTAAAGTTCACGATATCTGCCTTTATTTACTCCAAGTAACTGAAGCACTAGCGACAGACTAGGCTGCTCACACCCTGTCATCCATACCTGTACCTCTTCGTATGGATATGAATACTTTTGTTTCCGATGGCGATGTGAGAAAATTTGGTGTTTCCAATTGTAGTTTTCATCCTGTCAGTGAAGCCGATCTCTGTGCTGAAAAGCTAAGAGGAATTTTTCAGCTGTTTAACCATTTTTGGGAACCTTGAGCAATGCGTACACACGAAACTCAGATATTTTTTCACCCGCGACCTTGCGGCCAGTGGTTAAATACTCAACCGTTCGGCCATGAGTGGCTGATCTGCAGTGTGATTAGCTCTCACCAACGCAGGACATGACGCCACTGATCCGTCACTCACAGAAACCACAGTAGGTGGTCACACATTGACTGACTTCTTCAGTAACAACTTCTTGAAAGGAAGATTCACTCACATTCTGAACTTATTCCTTCTTTGAGCAACTTATACACTGATGGTAATGTGAGGAGATTTGGCAATTGACAACATAAATTTTCCCTGTTGTCTTCCTTCACTGTTTGATATGCTTAGGCTTTGCATGGATTGCATTCTAAACCCGAATGCTTCGTATATAGGCTCCGATAAGCAGTTACAAGTTCTCGTACGAGACCCATTGAGACAATTGTGTGCTTGGATTCATATTTTGAATCCCGACGACAGACAACTTGAAGTACTTCTTTATTTTGTTAGGTATCCATCTCTACCATAACTTAGCTTACAATCGGAGGGCCCCGTTATGATGACTCTTCGAATATGGGACGAAGAGGTTAAAGAGAACCCTCTAAATTGAGAATACAGGGGGCTTCGGGAATCAGGGAGAAGCACTTTACCAATATGCAAAGCTGAAATAAATTTTGCCGTGTCTTACATAAGTACACTCCTCAAAGACAGCGTTCTTTGTGTTCTTTAAACTAAGGATCAATTTGGAAAGCAGTGGCTTTGATCGTGTACAATGTTCAGCGTTTCCAGTGATGCTGTGAGTTTAGGATTTACATCTGTCATCAAACCAGATGTGATCACGTTTTGTTATGCAAGGTCGCGTAACAATCCATAACAATTCATAACAAGTTTTGGTGTTATATCTAATTATTTGTGTTAAGAACACTGCGTAACTCCCATGTTGGTTCGAAGATTTCTTCGAAGGTAAAATTGGAAGCGGCCCAATAAACCGCTATTTAACACAGAAAAAAAGTGAAAAAAAGGTTGCGGCTGAGCCAGTAGCAGTCACCGGCGGTTAAAACATAATTTGTGGGGACGGGGTCTTCTTTCTGTCAGTCTCTTTAAAAAATCTCATTACTAGCCCACCTTCTTTCGCCAATAGAACGTGATTCGCGAATCCTCACTGGGTCTCTAACATGCTCCAGTTGCTAGAAACATATTGGATGATTCGTACTAGTGTAGGTATCTCTTAGTGACAGCATATTTTCTTTATTTAAAAATCACCGATTGCCAAAGCCTCACGCAATGACAAGTAATTTTCTGGCAGCAGCTTCGCTGAATGCACACCGTATTTCAAGTCTACCTTATGTTTACCCAGTCAGTCGGCGACTTTAGTGTGGCTGGGGTGAGCATGAAACTTTCCAAGCCCCAGCGTCTTTGTGAATATATATTGTTTTGTTGTCGTTGATCACGCGACAATAATAGAATATCCGAAGTGGTTTGCTTCAGTTTACGCCCATAAATATAACTCATCAGTTCATAGCACCACTGAGGGAAGCGATGCTGTCGAATAAATTTAAAAGCACCATGCAAAACATCTTTTATAATATTCCCAGAGTGCTTTCTGATGTCACGGAGCCACAGAGACAGAGCACAACTTGCATCTGTTTCAAAAACTAACTCTCAAAATTAACCGTTACTTTCATAATGCGACTGAATCGGCTTTCCTATAGAAACGCATCTAAGCGAAACCACTCTAATTAGGTGTTTTGCGCGTGATTTGTTCCATATTCTAGACCCTGCGCCAGTGGTTCGTGTCTGCCATTCATACTCCGACGCATAAATCACTGGGATTGTAGCTTGCGTGTGATCGACCTTTAATCACCAGACAACAGTGGCTTATGCCAATCTGGACCACATGTTAAATTACGAAGGAGTATTTTTTCGATTCAATAAACCGGAGGTAAGAAGAGCAGTAATACCAGAATTTGGTTGGTCGTCTAGTTTATTGTTGGAAGGTACTGCCGACGAGGCAGTATATCGTGTTCACATGCAAAAAAAACTATACGACTATCAATAATGTCTAAATTTATTCACAATACTCGCGATTGGAAAGGAACCGGATTGCTTGTCTTCCGGATTTTTCGGGCAACATACCCGTTAGGGCTTCAGAAAACAGAGCAGAAATAACACCTTTAAAGCAACGAATATTACCTAACCTAAAAACTAATTGCAAAATATAAAAAAATGAGCTGCTTCACTAGGCTCAGNTTACCTAACCTAAAAAACTAATGCAAAATAAAAAAAAATGAGCTGCTTCACTAGGCTCAGCTTTCCACAAGTGAAGTTGCATGAAACTGACTTGTAGGTTTTACGGTCAGTTGGACTGACTAATAGTTAAACCTGAGTAGTTTGCTGAAAGTGTTTGGTATTAACTCGTCTTTGCAGTAGATTAGCTCGAATGTTGATTTTTAGATGCCACAATGTTGAACATCCAAAATAAAGCGAAAGTTTACAATCGCCACTTAGAAGACAATTGTCAGTTTGCTCAGACAAGATATTTCCTCCGGCTCAAGATTCCGTATGATAAGATTGTTCTTGTCATTTTTTCTATAGGTTGTCTGAGTGGATATGCCGGGGTGTAGGCACCTGGATATGATTGTCACTAGCCAGTAATGATTTTCTCCACTATCCTCTTTTATTTCTCCACAGAAAGCGCTTAAAATGAATTGTGGTTACAAGAATGAGACGTCGTTTGCTATCGATGCAACTTTGAGTAGGCGCTGCATTGTTTTTTTATCGGTCATAGTGAGAGCTAACAAGACAAAACTCAGGAAGTGGTGGATGACAAGAAGGCAGTATTTTCAGCAGCAAAACTGTCTGAAGCACAGATATTTTCCATAAATTTTGTAACCTACTTGTTGGAGTGGTGCATGCAGTTACCGGGAAGGATTTCGTTTACTTTTAAGGACTGATGGCCTACTGACCCGCTGACCTATTTTCTAGTTTAAAAAAGAATGCGCTTTGCCGCTAGCTCTAAAAAACCAAGAAACGCTAGCGCAGTGGCCTCTAAAAGTAACTAGATTAGACAGAGGCTGACATTAGTTATCTGGGCTTTTCGTTTCCTTAGTGAGATCCTGATGGACTTCACGAGTGGATGTTATTTCCTGTCGTTGCCAGGTAGAGGCAGGAACAGTTTCACTGAGATGGTTAAATGCCAGCTATCCATCTGTCCTTTTATGTGTCATTTTGAGAAAGATGCCAACGGATGTGTGCATTCTCAGGAGACTAGACTTTTTCTAGCAAAATTAACATCGCGTAACAGGCTGGTATCCAGAAGTCGATGCTGAAACCCGTCCATTTTCTAACATTCTGCCAAGCCGCCAGGCATTTCTGTAAAGCTGGACTTCTTTAATTGATTTGTCACGGAAATGCACCTATGGATTTATCTTCAACTTTATGGTCTCGGGTGGCATAGATATATATTGTACATGATGTTCGATGTAATTTTGTATCGTGTTCTCACGAAAATTTTTATCCTATTAACTCAAGTATAAAATCTTACCACATAATTTAGAGCAAACATTTTTCTTAAAGTAAAAAAGCCTAAACCGAGAGAAATATCCTTTTTGCGTGCAACTTTATCAGCTTTCGACGTTCGGATAATTCCCCTAAACTGATGGGAACAGTAGGGGTGTTAACATTTTCTATGATCCTTTGGATGTTCGAAAATCCTCTGGGGTTAGAACTCAGTTGCGTCGTGATAGATGTGATCGTGTAACGGATTGAACAGACACATTAATCATCAATAACTGAACCAAAATCCTTTAACCGATTTGTGGTGTGTTACATCAATAATGTTTCATTCCCCACAAAGTGTTCTTGTTCCTAGTTATTAGTCTTTTGCGCTTGACCATGTTTGTATTGCGTGCATCGTCCCATCATCTCATAACCAAGTTCGGGACCAACGGTTTTGAGAAACATCAGTAGATCAGGTAAGTGGCATGAGTGTTACGGACCACTGTGCGCTACAACCATTGCTGTCAAAATACTGCAAATAAAGTTTGGTGCATGTCCATATCACAGTCTCAATAGTTAAGAATCGACAGGACATCACTTAAGAATTCGGACTGCGCTGTTCGCCCATTCAACTGCACACTTAAATCATAATTCTGAAGGAAACGATATTTTCATACCTTCATATTGCTTTGAGTTATTTTCTTCTACCTAGGAAAACAACAAATTTTCCTCCTAGGAGTGTACCATATTTAACAACATGAATAGGCTAGTCATCCTTCGAAGATAAATTGTTGTCTTTCAAGCATACCAAACTGACAAGCTTGCTGAGTCAGCACTGGATGCTTGAAAGTCCATACTAACAAACTCTACACTCTCGCAACGAACCATTTACGGGCTGATGAAGCCTTGTCCAGATACAATCGCTCAAGTCAGCATTTGCGCGCAGTTGTTAAGACGATGAATATTATGTAGCGTTCACGTTCTGTCAGGACTAATCAAATGTCCACTGCTCCACTCCTATTGGTGAACCGTCCATTTGTCAGCCACGCTGTCAATCACATGGTGTAGACACTGTGTGTGGAACTCTGAGAAAAAATATAGGCTTGTCTAGAGTGGAGTTCTTCTTGGTTAAGTTGTTCTGCCAGAAAGCACCTATTTTATCTTCTATTTCGACTGCTTTGTGGAGGAGAAAGAAACCATGGTAAAGAGTAAAGCTCTGTTTCATTTTGCAGCACATTTCAAGGTTTACGTTTTGTAACATTTTTACTGATTTTTGGAATCTGTGTGTGGAACCTGAGAAAAAATATAGGCTTGTCTAGAGTGGAGTTCTTCTTGGTTAAGTTGTTCTGCCAGAAAGCACCTAGTTTATCTTCTATTTCGACTGCTTTGTGGAGGAGAAAGAAACCATGGTAAAGAGTAAAGCTCTGTTTCATTTTGCAGCACATTTCAAGGTTTACGTTTTGTAACATTTTTACTGATTTTTGGAATCTGCTATAAGCTAATGCGTGACACGAACTAAGCTCCACTCCATTTGCCGTTTTCGCAAAAAACAAGATGCAATTTAATCACCAAACGTCATATGGCCGTTATCAACCGCTTTTGTGGATGAATGTGTAAGTATACTTAATAGAGTAACTGTCTTTTTTTAATTTTCTACAGCTGTAGCTGCATCAATTAAAATGGCCACTCAAACCTTGGCCATGCCAAATTCTACTTCGACACCTTCAATGTCCACCTCAGGGAAGACGTAAGTATCCATAAATGAACAAATGTCTGTTCAAAAGCTGTCCTGAATGTCTAGTGCTTTTTGTTTACAGGTATTCTATTGTTTTGATCATAGTAATGTCGTTGGTAAACAGATGCACATAACTCGCCGGTCATAATGGTTCCACTCAAATTTCCCACTTGGAATATTCGCACTGGTGAAGTTTCCAATCAAGGATAGTGAAAACATGGATCCGAGTCTGAGGAGTTCCTTCAACCCTTGACTGTGCGGTACAAATTGCACATGAGTTTCGCCTTCTTAGGCCACATTTTGGCGGCCGGCTGAATTGAATTAGATGGGAACTTGAAGTAACATGCTTCTGAATAGAATGAGTTTAGATCACATCACGCTTGGCGCTGTCCATCAGAATACAGAAGACTGGTATGTACCAGAACAGCTTTTACGCTGTGTACGGAATACAGTGAACGCCCCACACCCACTACCGATAAATTCAAAACATTCAGATTTTCATCAAATCAGCTGCTTACTGCAATTATAACTGCACAACGGTCTTAGATTATCGTGCTGGGTTTTTGGAGAACGCAAAATCAATTTAGTGTTTCAATGGATGATTTATTCTGAACCGCAACAAACAGGCACGATCCTGACAAACCGTCCGCTGATTCTCCAAAATCATAAGAATCGATCATGAAGGGAATCCGTCATCTGGGCATACTCTAATTCTGAACAATGCAGCAGTTCGTCAGGCTATGTCAAAGTTTGTTTGGGAGTACTTATTATGGCTGTTGGTATGGAAATTGAGTGTGCTGGCAACGTTACAACGAGCGATTTACGACAAGATTTGGTTGATCCTGATTGACCTTCAGTTCTGATGGTCCCTATCAAGTTCATCGGGGAGATTGTACAGAATCTGTACCAAAGTGCAAGTTGAAAGATGCTAGGATCACTAAGTAATGGTAAAACAGGCTCTTCTTCATTACAATGCCCCGTGTGTTCAATGACTCCTTCGAGATTTCCACACCCAAAACATGCACAAATGAGGAAACCGTATGGTACAAAGCAAACTCAACTCAGCAGGATCTGAAGCCCAGTGGAAGCAAGAATAAAAGAAAGCGTTGTTTACTGATAATGAAATGATCATTCTGGAAGATCTGGATGGTTTGGTCTGTTGTCTGCGTAATGTGGATAAAATTAGCCCAGAATACTTTTACAGGACGAGTGAAACTTCTATCTTAGATGTCATCACTCAACAAGTCAGTGAGCAGGTGGAGATATGGTGTGGTTTTTGTGATCAAAGGATGAAGGACACTACATCCTCCCTAAATGCTTATAGATCACACTGCTAATCATCCGCTCGTAGCCAGAGATTTAGGCGATCGAACAACTGTCCGGGAAGTCGTGGTTCAAAACTCCCCTGATTTTCGTGGCTTCATTTACAACACGAAATAAATCTTTATTGAAACTTTCCAATTCCTCTCAAATTACCATCAGATTTGCATTCGACAAAACCAAAGTAGGAATTATTTCATGGCTTGGTATTCTAATTTTGTGGCAGATAAACAGTTTAACAGTGATCGCGGTTGATTTCGGCACTCAACGATCATCCCTTTACGTTTCCATGCAAAAGGCATCTGAGAGAAATGGATTCCCAGTGTAAGGGTGTCTCACTCTATAATGCGTTTTATTGCTCGCATTTTTATCCCACAAGCTACGATTAGCAGGCTGCGTAAAATTCAAAAGCATTTGAGCCATGATTTTACATCGTGTTTAACCATAACAAACCGTCAGATGAGTTGACTGGACTAAAGAGAGCTATGCCAAATACATGGCGGAATTGGGCAGTGTTCTATTGGGAACGCCATCTAACATGTAGGGATCATGAAGAACTTCACATAACTCGGAATGTGCTATTGGATTACAACGGTCCGAATATCGTTCCACGCACACAACATAATCCAGGCGTTCTATGCAAAGATTACTCAAACGTACGGTAGAAAATTGGTTATTTTCAGTTGCACAGGAATGAACAAAACTTGGGAAATCGACTGACTTGTCGGCTTCTTCCACGTGATATAGCTGGTTGACAGCAAACCACCTGGGGGACACAAAGTCACAGCCTGCCTAGAATGTCCTCTACCCGCACTGTGCACTCTGACCATACCAGGTAGTTGATATTTAACATCAGTAATGAGAAAGACTGATAGAACTCTACTCGATTGTGTCTGGTAGAATATGAATAAGCCGGTATCAGTGAGGTGATTGCCTATTATATTATGGCGTAAGTTGGATAGCTTATGGTTTGTTTCCGATGCAAAGCGGTCTACACGCACTGTGGGTTGGCACATTTTCGTCCAACCTTACCTCAATGGAGGGACATTAGTGTCCTTCTTAGGACGTTCTTGTTAAAGTAACCCACCGCATTTCCTATATGACTGGTAATCCCCATGTAGAAATATGGCAAATATTCCTCAAACAAAAATCAATATTGAACAAGTTCACTAATATCAAATGATTCTATTATTTTTATATTAAAGGCAATACTTAGTTGGACCTTAAAATCAAGGAAATACTATCTTCCGGCATACTTTCACCTCATTTCTTGCACTGTTCACTTTGTAGTGGCTGGTGTTGGTTTGGATGACTAGATGGATTGGTGTTTATACAGTTACACTTATAAGTTGCATCCGACTGAATGACTTGAATAGATTTGTTCGTTTTGAGTGTCCCGAAACCCAAGATAACTTTGAACCCTATAACCTTGAGTGAACAGGCCCTAGATTCGGGTCATACCATTGACTGTGTCTGAAGGTGTATTCTCCATCTTTGCATACCAATGAAAAGTTGCCGTATGAGCAAAAAAAAACTTGCAGTAAATTTTCGAATAAATCTAAAAAAGGAGAGCCTGGGAAACGGTTGAAGAAAAGCCGTGTAGGGTGACCTGCGGGAGGGTTTGGAAGTGGACTCAGATCTAAGCCGTATTTACTAATTGATGCACAGATGACAAAACAACCTTATACTCCAGTCAAAGACGAACTGCCGGCAAAGAACACTTTAGCGCTGTGGTTAATGCTTAGGATGTGGGTATATCTGCCGTTGACCTCATCCAAGCACGGGATATTTTGGTATATAATTAGATCAGCCAGCTCACGCCTCCTGTGAATTCACTGTATCAAAGGCCTTTGGCCGCCAACTTATTACTCTCTGCTTTGTATGTATGCTCCGACTTTTTTAACGCTCGTGCAAATATCACATTCAACGTTTGGTATGCAGAGCGAAATACCACTCATTATCCTCTGAATCCACTATAGGCCCTAGTGGTATTGTCATCTGGAAACGACAACTTTCAGGAGAAAACGTTGCACAAAAGGATGCTGGCTTCAAAAGAAAAGTACCGCTCCGTTAACTCTCACAGTGCATTCCGGCACTGCCAGTTAAGTCTTTTTGGTGGCGTCCTCACAAACATCTTTGCAAATGATTATATTGGCTTTCGCACGTAACTAGTCTAAAAACTGGACTTAAGCTCAGTTTCAGACTTCGCTAATAAGTCTGGAATCAACCGCGTGTGAAATATTGTGGCAAAACAAACTCAGATATCCTTGTCGGAACATGCTTGCATCAATCTAAAATTGTTGTCCTGGTGACCGTATGTCCTCCGTTAGCGGTGCGTCCCGTTTTTCGTCCTTCATGACACTGTGCGCAAACTCGTTCGTACAATGTAAACAATCATGTTTCAGAAAACGAAATCTGATTTATGATATCTTGTGATACTTGCCACTTTGACATTTTACTCTCAACTGACCTATGAGTACGCCTGATACGGAATCTTCGCACAGCACGTGTCAAAACAAATAAATTTATAAAAATAAATCCCGGCAACGAACGCGTCCAAACAAATATCCACAGGTTGAATAGACAGTTTTGCGCATCTCGCGTTAAGGGCAATACCATAAAAGTGTATCAGTGAACGTGTGAAATACCAGAGAGAGCCGTTTACCTGGAGATAGGGAGATTTTTGCGTGTGAAACTACCGCTCTGGGGAGACCGTCTCTAGTGACCGAGCGGAAATGACCTTTCCGGCAGGTGGACTTTTGAGAGTAGCTACAGTAGACAGATTACGTCCAAAACCAAACAACAGGTTCCCCAATTGGGGCAATATTGTGCTCCGAAAGGATCTTCCAAATCATCCGGTGAGAACAATCAACAGAATACAGCATCCTTCGTTCCTTAAAGTGCCCCCACAAAAAGTCAGTCACGTACAGATGAATGTAAAATTCCCCATACATAAAATGTTGTTTTGAATCTAAGAACTATCCCTCACTGATAAGCCGCAAAAAGAGCAGTATCGAGCTAGACAGTTTCGTTACAACAAAGTTACTTATTTCAGCCAGCGAACCAACCGTCCGTTTTGCCAGTGCCACTGTGAGTGGCATCAAGTCAGGATTGGGTTTCAGAAGGCTAATTTGACCAAACTAGATTTCTCATAGTAAAGGCTGATAATTCCCCTAAACAACAATTAGCCTGTTTTTGAGAACATTGCGAGTAAGACTATCCTGGTAACGAATGTCCCTAAGTACGGTCAGTTATCGGTTTACATGGCCATTCCCTTAAAAATCACCCGTACAAATCCGTACGACAAGTAACTGTTAGTATTAGGAGGGAGTCAACTGGTGACTTAGAATATTACTTCGTGAACAGTTTGAGGTAGATGTAATATTATTGTCAAGAGTGAATGTAAAATTTTGAACGTAAAACTCAGGCTATAGGGTAATTGTTTTTCGAGGCGATAATCGAAATTTCCAACACAAATATTTTTAGGGGAGAACACCATTTTCGGAGGACACAAGTTACACTATCACGTCAATAGCTTGAGTTTATCTATAGTTTACCAACTATAGAACGCGATCTTCTCTGCCTAGGACGGAATAATTGTGGCAAGGTTCCGGAAACAAGCAGATGGTTGTAAACCCCACAGCCAAGCTACGTGCCCCTAAATCACAGTTAACTAGGTGAGCACTCTGTCT